CACCTCCCACAAGCAGATCCAGCTTCCAGACTGGACATCCACATTATTCTCCAAATAAAGAGGGATAAGAGAAACTAAGGAAACCGTAACTGCATGAGTGATGAGTGAGAGGGAAACAATGAAACAAGAGACGCAGGGTAGAGAGGGCTGGAGGAATCTGTGCTAGGTACCTGACATATGCGACCACTGTGCGCAGCCTGGTAGAAAAAAAGCATGCTGTGCAACATGGAAAGCCAGGAAGAAAACATTATCAGCTGAGGGTGCTAAGTCTGGGGAGTGGCCAGTGTGTGACAGGAAGATAAGTAGACCTTTGCTAGAGGCTGAATGTGGAGGAAGTACTCTGTTACACAGGGAAGAAAGAGGTTCACTTATTACCAATTTCAAGGCTCCTATGAGAAATGGTAACTTGTTAAACCACAGTAACTCATTTATGTTTTCTCACGTGTCCGTAACCTGCAACTACATTACAAGCTGTGCTGCTAACAGCTATGTCAGTCAAGGATTAAACTTCTGCAGGAACACCTCTGTTGATAAGGGCAGTGAATAAGCTTTCTAGTATCAATAGTAACACGCATCTAAAGTGCATTTCATTTAGAACTTCTCATCCTCTTTTTTCTATATCCTAAGGAAAACAGTAGACATTTTTGTCTCTTCTTCCCTCAGACAAAACTAGAAAGTCTTCTTTCTTCTTAATAACGAGTAAGTCACTGAAATCTAGTTTTCTGGTCTTGCACACTAAAGAGGACCTAGTAGCAGAATGCAATTTTGAAAGTGGCTAATTTGCTTGTAGGGGGCTTGAGAACTGGGGATCACTTTTAAGTTGCAAAGCTTCCAAACAGAAACAATATAATGCCTTTATAAAAACATTTAACAAATAAAACCTGCAAGCAGATGACATGTCTCTTACATTTCTTATACAGGTCTCCGTAGTATTTAAAAAGAATAACCTGAAAGCATTGCTGTGATCAACATAAAACATGCTGTTCTCCTCACAGAGACAGACTTAATATTGTACATTTCACTCCTGATCATTTGAAAAATGGTCTAATGTGTTTAACTAATTGCTGGTAGAAATGGAAAATTCTGAGGTTCAATATACAGAAGGAAGGTGGATTACAGGATTTTTGGAAGAGACAATACATGTACTAAACCATCTGGCTCCTTAGCCTCAGTTTTTTCTACCAATGCACAAACTAGTGAAGTACATTTTATTGTACCACACACCTAAAACAGTCAAACCTCATCATCTTTCCCAACTTCAGACAGCTTCTACAGTGCAGATACTTGTCAGTTTTAAAAAAAATTAAATTACATATCTGCACCATGAAGAACCGAGTTCAGCAGTTGTAAAGAATAAATCAGCACAAATAAATTTAATGGGAAAAATACATAGCATAAGAACCACTTTACCTGTTCAACAGTCAGTAAGTTGGCAATACTAAATAATGAGCCTAGCCTGCCACCAAGCCAAAGGACCTCACTTATTTCTACTACTATCAGTTAAAATGTACTTAAGAACCCTCTGGGAACTACATAAAGATGCAGTCATTCTTCATCATAAGTTGCCTAACTTCTTTAGTTGAATCTAGCATAAAAGGCGATGTAATACTGGGTAGTTACTGTATCTTGACTGAAATGCAAGTGGAATAATTATCGTTTGCATTATCTGTCAAAATAATTTGAACTGAAATTGACAGAAGTCATGTGGTAGTGTTGCAGGTAGATAGTTCAAAGGTAACTGAAAACTGGTTTTCAAATTCAAATTTTCCTGTGGTTTCACCTTAACATTGAGACTTCCAAACACTCAAATTCATCAATGACACTGAAAACGTGCCATATGCTGTAATGCTGGCAACAAAAAAATGGGACTGAGACAGTCAGAAAAGGTACAGAATACTACTTCTTTTATGGCTCACGTAAGATTATGAAAGAACCAGATTATCCATTATTTAAACAAAGTCTGCAATAATATGCATAAGAACTGCAATTCAAACAAGAATATAGAAGTTAAGACACAAGTTTGGATTTATCATGCTGAATGAAAAAGTAATCACTTCATACATACTAAGAGAAAAAAGAAGTGAAGTTCTGGAAAAATAAGAACAGTAAAACATACTTACTTGGTGTGAAAGCAAATCTGTGCTTACATAATTCACAGTATTCTTTTCTGCTGTGTTTAAGCCACTGAACTAAGCTGCAATAAAAAGTGATCATATTAGGACACACTATTACATCTCTCTGCCTTATCCCTCCATTAAGGAAAACATACCAATTCTCTGTTTCCAAACATAAATCAGAATATGGGTGCTATCAAGCAGGACTTAAATTAGCACGCTTATTAAGTCCACTTAGGCCACCAAGTAAGTTTCAAAAAACGAAAAAGGTAAGCTGACTATGAGTAATAGCGACTCTTCAATTACATCACTTACATTACTGACAAAGTACATTCTTTTGAGTGTGTTACCGAAAAGGCTAATAACTCAAAACATATTTCCTGACATGGACAGCCACTAGTGACACCAATATTTACAAATATTTCAAGATGTGACACACACATGCACTCACCTAAGATTCAGAATTGTTGTATTTGTGAAAGAATGTCTATTAAAATACCATCAGAAGGAATGCATGCTATAGACCAGAATTACACTTTTCACTTTAGCATTTCCCTGATCATGCACCTCAAAATGACCAAAAAGTACTAGGGTATTTTTATTTCTTGCTATGAGGTTAGATGTTCTTTTTATTCACAACAATAAGTGGGAAGAAAAAAACCCCAACATACCGATTTTTCTGCTTAGTTTTCATAAAGCTAACGTATGAGCTGAACTGTAGTCCTAAGCACAGTTATCAGTACTTTCTTTTCATATATAATTACTAAATTCTTTGTGAACTGTAATGAACCATCATGTAAAAAACATCAAAACCTCTAACACATTTCTACTGAAAATTGGATTTTCTTAATAGTTAACCTGAAGACTTACGAAGTATTGTTTTTAGAAACACGTTAATGTGTTTTATTAAAAAAAAAATAAATTAAAAACTCACAGACACAGAACTCACCATTCCTGATGAATAAATTTAATACTGCCAGTACACACACATGGATGATAGAGGGGTTTCTCAGGGGTTCCTTCAGACCGACAGACTCTGCATATATCTGCTGACAAGAACATAAAGCTTAAACACTACTGCTTAAAGAACTCAAATTTACGAGACAAATTATACAATTAAATTCTAGAAACTTTGCCACGTAGCAAAACGAAGCCAGAATAAATTGTAAGAGGACGAAAGACAGATTTCATCTGATGCAAGACATGAAGACTGAGAGATCACCAGAAAAAGCAACAAGAATGTTATCTGCCCAATCCTGTTATAAAAAATGCAAAACACGTCTTACTATATCTTTAAGATTTCTAGGAAATAGACACAGTAAAACTACATGCAGAGGTGCTCTTTGCCTAAAAAAATTATCACTAAAACAACACATAGATTGTTAAGGATAATCTTCCTGAAAGTGGAGACTTTGAAATGGAAAAATTCCATTAGAGTTTTGAACAAGTTAAATGGAGGCTGAGCAGAAGAGAGTTAGTAATGTCTAACAATGACTTAAACACGCGATTTGCTACTCTTGAACCTAACATGGATGTTCCTTGGTGCTCTTGGTGAAAAGGAAAAAACACGTCATAATAAACAGAAATAGGTATTTTGTGAGTTTGCTACATGAGTTGAATAAGGCCATCCATTTAGCAGTCCACAGTCCAGTCACAAGAGGGAAGACATTTTCTATTTCTTATTTCATAATTTCAATTTCAATAATATTTCAATAGGTCCCGCACCTTCTTTATTCTCTATTTTTGACATTTTCTTATAACTAAAGATTGCAAGATGTTTTGTGGACAAGGAAGTGAGTGTAAGCCTCTCCCTCTAAAGAACAGATGTCTATTTTAATACCATTTGGTTATCCAGAGCATTTAAACAAACAACAAAATATAAATAAAAATTAAGTATTTTATTTCCTTATTGACAGAAGTGTGGTATCTTCCCTTTACTCCTCCTTTAATACCATTGCATTTTTACTTCTCTTAAGGAAATGAACACAAAATGTCCATTTTTATAGAAGATTTCAGTTTAGGATTTTCTCGTTAACTATTTCTCTATCAACCACCATTCAGCAAACCTGCAAGAGTCTAACAAATGCACATCAGAGATCTCTGTTAGAAAAATACCAACTTAAAGTACTGACCTAAGAATACTGAAAATATGCAATTTCAAGTCTGAACCACTTATCTTCGTTCTTGGTTGACATCTCCGAAAGTTAATGTATTTCTGTAAAAAGTTCCAAAAGGTACCGAACACTAAAATATGAATGTTTTTCTACAAAGATGAGAAGTCACTATATGACCATATCCCTAGTTCACACAGTATTAGAACAGTTTCTACACATAAAGCATAAGAATTCAAGTGACTCCAAAGGAAAAAAAAAATAATTTTGTGTCCACAAAAGAGATTTGAATTCATTCATGCAGGCCAAAAGCCTAGAATTAGGAGAAACACATATTCCATACCACATCAATGATGCTACAGAGAGACATAAAGAGCACTTCCGTCACAGCCATATTGAGCAACGACGTATCGCTGCACACATCAAGAGCCCCTGGTTTCACTGCTGACAAGAACGACCAGAACTGCTACTTCACATAACAGACGATTCTTTTACCACAGAGAGTGTTTCCAGGTGGCTGCACAGGACAGGTCTCTTCAACTGACCCACCGCCACGAGCCG